CCCTTTTTGGAACCATATGTGTTTAGTTTTTGTTTAGTGTAGGAGTTGTTTGTTGTTTAAACACCCAGTCAGGTTGGCGGAGAGACGTGCCTCGACGAGCCTTCAGTGTGCGTGGCTGGACAAGGCACGGTGTGTGGCACTGGCACTGGACCTGGCGTGTGATGAAGATGGCGGCCTCGTGTGGTCTAGACTGGACAACACACACGGGCGTGGCGCGGATTCTGGTGTGTACGGCAGACCGGTGAACAACGAGAGGCCTATGACGTCAATTCCTTGACCCACAAAGAGGGCTACTGGACACCCGCCCCACAGGTGTGTCGAAGCGGAGGCACGATCATTGGGGGCGGTAACAGTCGGAGAGCCAGTGGGGCAAGGCGGTTGCGTCAACACCTGGCCCAACCAAGCGGACGCTCCCCACCAACGAGAGGCCAGTGACGTCAATTCCTTGACCCACAAAGAGGGCTACTGGACACCCGCCCCACAGGTGTGTCGAAGCGGAGGCACGATCGTTGGGGCGGGTAACAGTCGGAGAGCCAGTGGGTCAAGGCGGTTGCATCATCTCCGGACCAAACAAGCGGACGTTTTACCGGTGTTCTTAACGCTGAGGCCAGAACCAGAACACGGTGTGTTGTGTAGTGGACCCAGGTGGACGGGATGGACAGGCAATGTGTGCCATTAGTAGCGGGCGGGTCTAGCCTGACCCTCCCCCCTTGTCCTTCCGGATGAACGACCGACAGGGCTAGTAGCGCGGATCAGCCCTCAGTAAAGGGAACACTATCTTGGTGCCTTGAGTTTTTTTAGGGAACACAGAGACGCAAGATTAATGTTATTGTAAATTGTTTCTTTTTTTTGCATTCAAGCTTATAGGCTTGGTGTAAGAGATGGGTGCATTTTTTATTTTAAGATTGTTATATGCATTTTTTTGTCTTACAGGGACTGTAAGATTTTTAAAAGGGGTGAATGTGAGCGGGTGAATGGATTATTTTTTTATTATTTTATTTGTGCGAATCTGGGAGTGCATGGTGGTCCAATGGGGAACGGCACGGAGTCCCCTTCCGTCCGAAGAGTATATAAACTGACCACTCGGATAATTTCCTTCCTTTTTATGACCGCCAGAATGTAGGTCAGGTCAGCTTCTGTGGTCGCGCTTTGTGCGTTGGAGTGAGGTTGCTTGGGCAACTTGGCTGGGTGTTTTGTTATATATGAATTGTTTTGTTTGGTGTAAAAAGTTTGTTGTGTACGTATTGTGTTCTACGTAATGTATTGTACGTAGTGGTTTTACGTGAGTGTTTTGTTTGGTGTGGACTTTTGGATGTCGAGAATGGCTTTTGGTTCCATGCAATAAATTTTTTATTAACTGTAAAAGTTTTTGTTTTATTTTAGTAGCTTATTATTTAGACTAAGGTTAGGGTTTAACCACTGTGGGTTCTACCACGGTTGCACTGACCGGACAGATTAGTTAGTTAAGCCTAGAAGGGTAGATTTTAGGTATCCCCCCCCCCCTAGCAGGGCTTACATATGGACGACTCCTAACATGTGCACGATCGCTAAAGCTTTTTTTTTTTACTGAATGAGTTGTCCAGCTATCAACCAGAGTTGTCCCAGCTATCAACCAGAGTTGTCCCAGCTATCAACCAGAGTTGTCCCAGCTATCAACCAGAGTTGTCCCAGCTATCAACCAGAGTTGTCCAGCTATCAACCAGAGTTGTCCCAGCTATCAATCAGAGTTGTCCCAGCTATCAACCAGAGTTGTCCCAGCTATCAACCAGAGTTGTCCCAGCTATCAACCAGAGTTGTCCCAGCTATCAACCAGAGTTGTCCCAGCTATCAACCAGAGTTGTCCCAGCTATCAACCAGAGTTGTCCCAGCTATCAACCAGAGTTGTCCCAGCTATCAATCAGAGTTGTCCCAGCTATCAACCAGAGTTGTCCCAGCTATCAATCAGAGTTGTCCAGCTATCAACCAGAGTTGTCCCAGCTATCAACCAGAGTTGTCCCAGCTATCAACCAGAGTTGTCCCAGCTATCAACCAGAGTTGTCCCAGCTATCAACCAGAGTTGTCCCAGCTATCAACCAGAGTTGTCCCAGCTATCAACCAGAGTTGGTCCCAGCTATCAACCAGAGTTGTCCCAGCTATCAACCAGAGTTGTCCCAGCTATCAACCAGAGTTGTCCCAGCTATAACCAGAGTTGTCCCAGCTATCAACCAGAGTTGTCCCAGCTATCAACCAGAGTTGTCCCAGCTATCAACCAGAGTTTGTCCCAGCTATCAACCAGAGTTGTCGGTAATCCTGAAGATTATTTTAGATCAGTTTAAAAAAAAAAAAAAGATTATCTCGAAAAGCTCAGGGTAGTCGAACTTAGTCCACAATCAGGCGAAATTTTTATCGTCTTTTCACGTTCGTGCCCAAGACTCACGGGGCAGATGAAGTAGAGTTCATGTGTTTCAATAAGCTCGATTTGTTTACTAACTTGAGTCAGGTACCCATCAGAGCTAGGTGAGCACATCGCGTCCTACAGAGTCGAGCCCGGGGCACTTGAAATTTTCGGGGGGGGGGGGGGGGGTAAAATTTCCGGAGAGGGTGGGGGCAGACACTGCTAAAAGTATATATTTTCTATATAAATTCCATTCCGTTCGGGCGGGGGGGGGGGGAGGGGGGCGGAAGACAACACGTGACAATGAGACCAATATTTCTTTTGTCTGTTAATATATGGACGGGGGGGGGGGGGGGGGGGGAGGTATAGGGGTTTCTCTGAAGTATTAAAAATGTATCATTCATATCACTGAAAACGTAGGCTAATCCTTTTTTTTTAAATATATATCTTGTAACAACAGATAAAAAACGATTTTCTGAGACGGATCGCGATCGACAAAGGTGACATGTGTTTGTGATAGCCCAATAGTTGATACAAGATAGCGACGTGGTGGAGTCATAGGTCAATACGTCGGCTGATAAGTCAATCAATGGCAAGTTGAATGGGGGAGTTTGGATACGGTAGACGTGTTAAGAGATATGTGTGTTAATAGGTAGCTAATGTTTGCTAGTAGGTAGCCGATGTTTGTTAGTAGGTAGCCTGTAGGTAGCCAATGTTTGCTAGTAGGTAGCCAATGTTTGTTAGTAGGTAGCCCAATGTTTGTTAGTAGGTAGCCTGTAGGTAGCCAATGTTTGCTAGTAGGTAGCCAATGTTTGTTAGTAGGTAGCCAATGTTTGCTAGTAGGTAGCCAATGTTTGTTAGTAGGTAGCCAATGTTTGTTAGTAGGAAGCCAATGTTTGTTAGTAGGTAGCCTGTAGGTAGCCAATGTTTGTTAGTAGGAAGCCAATGTCCGCTAGTAGATAACCAATGTCGGCTATTAGGTAGTCTTGCTTGTAGGTAGTCAACGCTTGCTAGTAGGTAGCCAATGACCTCTAGTATGTAACCAATGTCCGCTAAACAAATCCAATGGTAGCATGAGAAATGACACAAAACCACAGAATCACAACACACAGCCACATCACGATGTGGTGACACCATGGTGTTGTTGACATCCACACCACATCAAACAACCCTGGGACCATCAAACCACCATCCTCTGTCATGATCTCACAGTCATGTCATGAACTCATTGTACTATAGTGGCCTCATTAAAAAAAAAGTAGGCCCTACTTTTATATGCCTTATGCTTATTGTATGAACTTACGTACAGTTCCTTTATGGTATGTTACGTCTGCCCCTGCCCCCTCCCACCACATATATTTATATTGCAATATATTTTCTTTTATTACACAATAATTTACAAAAAAATAAAAATATGACTACCCCCCCCCGAACGGAATAGATATTTATATAGAAAATATATATTATTAACAGTGTCCGCCCCCCGGAATTTTTAGTCCGCCCCCCCCCCCGCCGAAAATTTCGCCCCCCCCCCCGGAGAAAAAATGACTGGAAGAAACACTGGACCGTTTTCCAACGGGTATCTGGGTAGTCTAGTGTTATCTAATCTTTAAGATGTTTAGGATGGAGCTGTTTCAAAATGTTAATACGGAACTTCAGTAAATTCGTATATGCCTACATTAAATCTGTCTGAAATGTTAGACTTTTTAAAAATATAACTTACAATTAGCGATGCTACTTTCTTTAAGTGGGCCTACTCAAAATGGTAATTGTTATGTGCTTTACTTTCTAAACTTTACGCGAGCTTGTATTCTGTGTTTCTTCCAGACTTTTTTCTCCGGGGGGGGGGGCGCACTTGAAACTTTCGGGGGTGGGGCGGTAGACTTTCTTCAGGAGGGGGCCGGACACGGCTAAAAGTTTATATTTTCTATATAAATTTCATTTCGTTCGCCACACCCCCCCCCCCCCCCCCCCCCCCCCCCCCGAAGTGATGCCTGGAAGCAACTCTGGTTGTATTTTTAATAATTTTATTCATAATTATATTATGTGCTGAAAAAAACATTTCTTTCGACAATTACGGTAATTTTATTTTAGATTAAAAGAATGAAGCTCGTCGTACAGACTGCCTTCTCTGATTGGATAGTCATAGGAAATCCCATTGACACGATTCCCAATTCAGACAGCCCAGCTATTAAATTCTCGATTCTGATTGGGCCGCTGCACTTATCATGCCACGAGCGGTCGTTTGCGGCAAGCCTGCCTATAAATCGTTGAATGCAGACGGCCAAACGTGTCAGAGAACCCTCTGTTCTACATTCAGCTCTTGTGCCAATTTCCTGCCGCAGTAGTGACCTTTGTAAACAGTAAAACCAACGGCCGATCAATTTCATCACTACTCCTAAATTTAGTATTATCCCGAAACACTTGTGTGTTCGTTTAGTAGATTTAGCGGCGTTCCTCCCTCGACACCAATTCGTTGTCTCGTCTGTTAGAATTTATAGAATTGCCATGGCTACCACAGGAAGTTTTAAATGTGTACTTTCGGCTGCGTTGAAATCAACTGCTAGTCAACTCTTACGGTCTGGGTCTAAAGGTAAGTTAATGCCTATTCAACTTCTTATAATTTAACTTGCCGGTGTTTTTTTTTTTTTTTACAACACACCGGCATCTGTTAATTTTAAGATGTGACTCACACTGTTCCGGTACGGTTCCTGGAGCATGATATGAGATCTATTTTAGTAACCATGCTCGTAGTTCAACGGCCATCTCTTTTACAAAATAATGCTTGGTGCTTAATAATATTACGAAACAAACTTATTCAGCAATAGACTAGTCTATTTCAGGTCATGCAATGTTAAGGAATCTTAAAAGGAAATTTTAAAAATTTACATTTAATAAATAAAAAAAAAAAACCTACACTACACATCTAGATCTAGATCTAGTTTGAAAGTGCTTGGACGGTGTATTCTAAATCTAGAATCTAGGTCAGTTATTTATTACAAAATATTCGAATAAGATTGTTAGTTCGGTGCGCTTATGTCTTCTTGAATTTGTTGTTGAAAACAAATTCAATATAGAGTCTAGATTCTAGAGTCTAGTCGATCAAATAGGCCTACACTGAAGCTACTTAAGTCTATCCTTGCTTTCTGTTTCTATGAATGCCGGTAACGAACAACTCTTTCTAATAACCGTAACGAGATACCGCTTTATTTAAGGTTTAGTCTTAGATTCAGGTCCAGGATAGGAAAGCAATAGAAATAGATTTAGATCTATATATTCTAGATCAAGAATCTACAGTAGATCAGAATAAAAGAACATCGATAAGGACCTACCGATGATTACATAGTACATAGGGCCTTTATCCGTTATAATAATACCGTATATAGATTGAGTTAGATTAAAGATTAGACCTAGATCAATATTGATTCTCTAAAGGTGACGGCTATTAATTTCAACACATAAAGACCAACTTTGTGCGTATACACACTGAACAGATTAGCCTAACCAAGAAGTACAGCATTGAAAAATCTGGGCGCTTTACTAATCTCAGTATTGTCTAGACTAGCTTCAACACACTCCTAAATATACCACACGGTTACATGTCAAAGGTCAGAGGTGACAGTGCTACGTTTAAAAGAGACGGGTTACCTGAGACAAACGGTATTCTAAACTCTGTTGACCCGGGTATATTGTTACAACACCCATCCGTTTAAAGAGAGAAAACATCAGGAATTTAATGGCACAGACGGTCAGGTGTTGCTGCCAAACCAGAGGCGTAGCGACCCATTCCGGCTCCCGGGGGTAGGAAGGGGGGGGGGGGGGGGACGACGACACGGGACTCAATTTTGACCCGTTCCTTCCATTTCCATTAATAGATATTCCTGTTTGTGAAAAAAGCGCCCCCCCCCCTCAAGTTTGTAAAGGTTTGTGGCGCTTCTTACCGGTTGCTATCCCGTAACAGTTTCTATTTTGGTGCCACAAATTGGTATAGATAACATTAACAGTTAAATCAGTGTGTAAAGCCTTGTAGTCTTTTATTTTCGTAACTTTGTGTATAATTCTAAACTTCAGCTTAAAATGATATTTTTAATTATTATTTTTACGCCTTTTGGCGCCCCCTTAGGGTTGGCGCCAGGGGCGGCCACCCCACCGCCTTCCCCTAGCTACGCCACTGTGCCAAACCAGATGTAAAACGACAGGAACAAAACTTAGATGTCACAACGTGCTATTAATACTTCTATCTTATAACCATAGCATTGACGTGTTTACTTGTAAAGGCCTATAACAGTTGCCCAGCAACGAATTGTCAGACACGACTTTCGAAAAATGTTGTTAACTGTTTTGATAGGGTCAAGAAGAAAATGGTATCATTTAAAAAAAAATAATTCATGCTTTGTCGTCTTTTAATAACTGTAATTTTACCTATTAATTTTTTTCTTCTACCCATTGTCACAAAAGGTATGCTTGTTAAAAATAACGACACTGTCTAAATTTTAAAAACCATTTTTTAACGTAAACGGTGTGTCTACTCCACGTTAAAAAATAGTTACAACGTCCACATTACAAATAATTACACCGTCCACGTTAAAAAAAAAAAATAAACCGCCCACGTTAAAAATAATTACACAGCCATTTTAAAAACAATTACACCGTCCCTGTTTAGAAAAAAAAAGGTACTTAGGTTTGCAACACGTGGCATAGCTACATTGTTGTTAGTCAATGAATCAATCACCAACAAATGTTACCGATTGTTCGTCTATCTACACGGTTAGGTTAACTCAACTATTAAAGGGAAACAATCGTTTGTCAAGGGAGACAATCGTTTGTCAAGGGAGACAATCGTTTGTCAAGGGAGACAATTGTTGTCTAGGTAGCAACGTAACATTTTAGACCAAACTATCTGTATGACATATGAAGCAGAAGTAATCTGTTTCTCTGAACATTTTTTTATGAATAGATTTTGTCTTCAACACTGTTCTTGCCAACTAGTGTCAGGTACCCATTAGAGCTGGGTGGACTCATTGACGTCTTGTTTCTAGAACACGATTCTCTCTGGTTAGCAAGGGTGTGCTCTGCCACGCAACCACCCCGGGGGGACTGAATGACCTTACCGTCATATGCGATGCATATCTCCATGGAAACAATAGGCATGCAGGTCTAACTATTTTATGAGCTATACAACACATCGACCAGCTAGTCTGAGATCATCACATATATGTTATTAGCCGCAGAGGCGTAGCGACCCCTCCCGGCGCCTGGGGCGAACTTTCAGTTTGGCGCCCCCATATATATATATATATATATATATATATATATATATATATATATATATATATATATATATATATATATACACACGTGTGTGTATGTGTGTGCGACAGTCTGGAAAAAAATTAACAATTACGCTGATTGTCGTTCCCTAAAACTTCACTGGACGCCAATTAAATTCCCGTTAAGATCCTTTAAAAATGATGATAAGTAATGTCAGAAAAAAATTAAAATTGTAGCGGTGCCAATTCGTTTAGCACAGTCTTTTTATGATTCACGTTCGGATTTGGTCTGTGTGGATGATACGACTATTAAGAAGGGTTCTGTGATTCCAAAAAGTTAAGAACCATTGCTTAATTTGTAGAAGGTGCAAGCCTTATTTGTTCTACTTTTGGTCGTATCTTTAGAATAATTTCGATAATTGTAGGCCTATATCACAATTTTGAATTATCAGTTGAACAAAGTAATAATTAGTACAATATACTAATTTTCTTCTCTCTTAACATATTGGCAAAGAGTTTCGCTTCCCACCCACTCGCTCCGACAGTCTGCTATTTTACTGATAGGATAGCGATACAAGAATCCGTGATATTTATTTCTCTTTTATGCAGTGATCCAGACAAGATGTAACGCAATCAAGTAAAAGTATCTGATCTCTCACGATGAAGTTGAGAGAATCGTAAGAATCGTACAAAGAACTAGTCGCGTTATTACTTATCAAAACTGGGTAGTGAAATCGTACATTAAGTGTTAATACAATCGATTTCTTTTCTAAGTGTTAAAATATTTATATAGTAAGCGATCCATTACAAATCCTTGCGATTTTGTTTGGTGATAAGTGCCCCACCATCTTGCACAAAAATTGTAGAGTGGATTTTAAACGTCACTAACTCTTTTTTTTTATGTTACACAATCGTAAAATACGTTTTAGTTCAATGTGTTTTTCTTTTCTGAGTGATATCGGTTATTTATTCCTTAATCCGGTGTGAATTTTTCCGATTTTAGTCTTCGAAAAAGCGCCCCCCCCCCCTCTAGGAAAGCTGGATAGCGGTTTTTCCGGTCACTATTTCTTAAGGATATACGTTTTACAGTTACACAATCAAGGTAGAAAACAGTTAAATCAGTATGCAAGGGCTCTCAGCCGTTAAATTTCTTTACTTTGACTGTTTATAATTCAAAACTGCAGCTTAAAATGAACTTTGTTAAAAAAGTTTCTACCCCTTTTGGCGCCCCCTAGGGTCGGCGCCCGGGGCGGCCGCCCTCCCCGCCCTCCCCTAGCTACGCCTCTGATTAGCCGCTCCGCAGATGATAATAATAAAACATCCAATTAAAAAAATATATTTTTAAAATATATAATATGAAGAGCTATATACAACATTAATATGTACATTAACGAGGTTTTTGATTGGTCTTCCACTTTTCGAAGATTGCTTTGCTTTGCTATATATTGCGTTGTTTGTCTTTATTGTACTTTACCTTTTCTCAAGCTTTTATTTAGTTCGCAACGTTTGTTTGTTTGTTTGTGGGTTTGTGGCAAATCTTGTAACTCTATTTTGACCCACTTCTAATGCAGCGATTTCGTTCAAAATTTCCAGATACTTTCCACTTCGATGACAATACAAGTCTTTCTGTTTTCAAAAAAAAAAAAAAAATTAATTAGATTCTTAATTAGTTATTAAAATTAAATTAACGGGTTCGAAATTAAGGGGAGATAACAAAATTAAATCACTCGATATATTACTATATAGGGGAGATGACTAGCTAGACGCGATCACCCTAACAGTCTGGTGAGCTGTGGTTCACGAGTATGTTTACAATCTTAGAGCTGGTCGATCTAGTGAAGTCTATTAGGAGTAGATAATAAAGTTTTTAAACGTTTTGAAACTAAGGGGGGGGGGGTAACAAGATTAAGAACTTGCTGTCGTCTGTAGCCTAGAGGACTGTGACTTTGCTGATGACTTGGCTTTACTTTTACATGCACAAAAAGACATCCAAGCGAAAACCACAAGAATAGAGCAAATCGCCAAAAGCGTTGGGCTAAAGATAAACTCCGGAAAAACCAAGCTAATGAAAATAAAAACCAAAAGTGCTCTCAAGACCTTTGCGAATGGAGCAGAGCTAGAGGAGGTCGAAGACTTTAAGTACCTCGGCAGCTATATATCAGCAAATGGCAGCATGGAGAAAGAAATTGCCACCAGAATAGCAATGGCAGCACAAGCTTTCAACAGACTCGCTAAGATCTGGAAATCATCCTCACTGCAGCAGAGAACTAAAATAAGGATCTATAAGTCAAATGTACGTTCTGTACTCCTCTATGCTGCAGAG